CGCCTCGCGCGCGCGCCTCGTAGGACGCGCTGCTGATCTCGCTCTGCGAGCTGTCGCCGCCGCCGCTCCAGCAGACCGCGACGGGGCGCTTCTTGAGCTCCGGGCGGTCCCGCACGGCGACGGACGCGAAGAAGCAGTCGAGGTCGACGTGGAAGATCGTCCGCCGCCGCCCCGGCCGCGGCGGCTCCGGCGGCGCCACTTCGGCGCCGTCGTCGGCCTCGTCGAGCACGTCGCTCCAGACCTCGTCCCAGCGCCCGATGAAGGCCAGCCGGCTCGCGCGGTGGAACGTCTCGATGAACGTGTCGTCGTCGAGCGTCGTCCGCGGCGCGCCGCCGGACCGCGGCGGGCCGCCGAGCAGCGGCTCCGCCGCGCGCAGGGCCGCGGCGGTGCGCCGCGCGTCGGACGTCGTCGCGACCGGCGCGGTCGGCGCGCCCGGGGCCTCCATGAGCGCGGCCGACGGCCGGGTCAGGCGGAGGCTTCGCGTCCAGCACCTGGGTCCTGCAGCATCTCGGCGGCACGGTTCACCTTGCAAGCATTTACCGGCCTGCGCCGATTTTGGCTGGCTGCCGGGGCCCGAGACACATCAGCCACAGCCTTCCTCGTCGCCTAACGCAGCGATGGACTTCATCAGCGACGTGGAGAAGAAGATGGGCGACATGCTCGGCGGCAGCGCCATGCTCTGCCAGAAGGGCGACGAGACGCCCCACGAGGTCCTCTATTTCCCGATAACGGCCCTGGGCGAGCCCATCCGCCTCGCCCTCGCCGTCGGCGGCTTCCCCTTCACGGACACGAACCCGCGCAACTGCGAGACCTTCCAGGAGCGCAAGAAGGAGCTGTCGCCGCTGGGCGAGGCGGGGCAGGTGCCCATCCTCGTGCTCCCGGACGGGAAGACGATGTGCCAGTGCCGCGCGATCCTGCGGTACCTGGGCAAGGTCTGCAAGTTCGAGGGCGCGCCCCTCTACCCGACGGACCCCATCGCCGCCTACGAGGCCGACGCGCTCATCGAGCTCTGCGAGGACATGCGCTCGCCGCTCGGGGCCACGTTCGCGATCTCGGACCAGGCCGAGAAGGAGGCGGCCCGCGCGGCGCTCTGGGCCGAGGGCGGTAAGCAGAAGAAGTGGGCCGCGGCGCTCGACGCCACGCTCGCGAAGGATCCGATGAAAACGCTCACCATCGGCAACATCTACGCGTTCTGCATCGTGAACATGTTCCGGACGCCGACGTTTCTCGACGGCGTGCCGCCGGGCGTCTTCGACGAGCACCCGGCCATCCAGAAGCACCACGACTGGGTCGCGAACCTCGCGCCCGTGCTCGAGTACTACAAGGAGAAGGACGGCATCCGCGTCGCCTTCCAGCCCCTCCCGAAGCCCGAGCCCGAGCCCGCGGCGCCGTCGGCGCTCGAGGCGAGCCAGATCGTCCGCCAGGAAGGCAAGATCAAGCAGCTCGAGGAGGTGGGGGCGCCCGACGGGGCCATCGACGCCGCCAAGGACATCCTCAAGGCCATGAAGGACAAGTACCAGGAGGTCCACGGCAAAGAGTACGTCGCCGAGCCCGAGGCCGAGGCGCCCGCGCCGGCGGCCTAGGTACCGGACCGACGCGCGAAGGCGCTCGAGTTTAATGAGGGCAGGTGAACGACAGCAGCACGGTCCTCGGCGTTGGAGAGCGCACTTTTTCGGTGTTCTTGATGCACTTCAACAAGCCGGTTGCCTCATCAACGTCCTCGGGTTACGTTTGGAGTACGGCAGCTTTTTCGGTCTTCCTTGAAGCACTTCAGCAAGCCTCGTTGACGTCTTCCTGCCACTGGCAGAGCATGACCGTGAGCACTCTTTGCAATCCGCGCTCGCAGATGAGCACTGCGGTCTGGCGCTCGCAGATGATCGCTGCGCTCCGCATCTGGCTCGTCGCCACCGTCGCCGCAGCGACGCCGCAGCCGAAGGGCACGGTGACCTGGCCGCGCGGCCCGAAGCTGCGCTGCGCCTGGGACGCGGCGACGCACGCGCTGCGGGTGTCCTGGCCGCGGGCCGTGGCGCCGG